ACACACACACACACACACACACAGAAATTTCCCTTGACCTCACATCTCCCTGCAGCTGCTGTCCTGTTTCTCTGCCTCTTGCAGCAAAATATATCTATACCAACTGTCCCCTCTTAGTCACGTCTCTTTACTCCTCAGCCCACTTAGATTTGACATTGACTCTATAGCTCTGTCAGAACTGCACATCCTGCTCATCTCAAGGTCACCTGTAATTTTAAAGGCTGTTCTTTAAGTACAGATTTCTGAATTTTGTTTTGAAGAAAATTAAAAATAGATCACATTAGAGTTTCAAATGAAGAAGTAATCGGTTTTAGGAGAACTGTATTAACATTTTTAATCGTAATAAATTCTAATGTGCATATTTAAGAATTACTACATAAGATTTAAATTGTTAAAAATAAACAATTCCACAGCCTTAATTAAACTTAATTTATAGTTTGATATAAAGAAAACTATAAATACTGAGTGATGATATAGTTCTTTCTCTGTAAGATATACAGTTTTTATATTGAAATAAAATATTCAAGGGAAGAGTGTAACATTCCTCTAAACTAAAGATGGTTAAGAAAAGCTTAAACTGCAACATCAGTAGTTTCCAGGGGACCTGGCACCAAAAGCAAAGGCAACGTGAGCAAAAATAAACAAGTGGGCCATCATGAAACGAAAGCGCTTCTGAACAACAGAGAAAATCACTGACAGAATGAAAAGGCAACCTATAGAATGGGAGAGAAAAAGTTGCAAATCATATATCTGATAAAACGTTAATATCCAAAATATGTAGGGGGGAGGGTATAGTTCAGAGATCCAAGGTTCAATCCCCAGTACTTCTATTATACTAAAAAAAGGAAAAATTGAAATAAATAAATCTAATTACTCCCTAAAAAACAAAAAACAAAATATATAAAGAACTCACACAACTCAATGGCAAAAAACAAAATCTGATTTTAAAATGGGCAGAAGGTCTAAATAGACATTATTCCAAAGATGACATACAAGTGACCAACAGGTACATGAAAAGATGCTCAAAATCACTAATCATCAGGGAAATGCAAATCAAAACCACAATGAAATCACCTCACAACTTTGGAATGACTATTATCAAAAAAACAAACAAACAAAAAAACCCCAAAAACAAATAAAAAACAACCCCAAAACAAGAAATAATACGTGTTGGTGAGGATGTGGAGAAAAGGGATCTCTTGTGCACGGTTGGTAGGAATGTAAACTGGTTGAGTCACTATGGAAAACAATACAGATGTTCCTCAAAAAGTTAAAAATAGAACTACCACATAATCCAACATGATTCAGCAATTTCACTTCTGGATTATTTACCCAAAGAAAATAAAAACACCAATTCAAAAAGATATATGCACCCTCATGTTCATAGCAGCATTATTTGTAGTAGCCAAGACATCAAAGCAATCTAAATGTCCAATATCGATAAGTGGATGAAGAAAATATGGTATATACACAATGAGATTATTTAGCCATAAAAAACCAAAATCTTGCCATTTGCAACAACATGGATGGACCTTGAAGGCATTATGTTATGTGAAATAAGTCAGGAAGACAAATACTGTATGATCTCATTTACTTGTGGAATCAAAACAGAAAAAAGCTCATAGATACACAGACCAGACTGGTGGTTGCCAAAGGTAGGGTGGGGAGAAAATGGGTGAAGAGATCGTATTCCATACTTGAAAGTTGCTAAGACAGTAGATCTTAAAAACCACAACAACAAAAAATTCCTATAACGATTTATGTGATGACTTCTGTGGAGACCATTTCACAATGTATACAACTATCAAATCATTACATTGTACACCTGAAACTACTTTGCTATACACTATGTCAATTATATCTCAATAAATTATAGAGAATAAAACCGTCATTGTGCCTTAATTAGTGTCCTTAAAAGGCAGGTGTTCAAGAAAATAATTTGCACCCAGAATGTTATAAATATACAACTTTCTTTAAGAATATATATATATATATATATATATATATATATATATATATAATACACATATCAAATATTTAATTTTATTCTATTAAGTTAATATAAAGAAAATAACCAAATGATCTGTTACTAACTGAAGACATCAGTAACTGATTCAGAATTCTTATATAATCAAAGAATTCCCGTTTATATAGAATAATTAGAATATAATGAAAACAAAAGAAAGCAATACTCATTATCCTTATAGGGAATATTCATATCTGTTGAAGATAACCATCACTGGCCTCTTCATGCTTCATGGCCAAAAGTATTTTTTTTTGAAAAATAGGTTTATTGTTTTAAAACTACCTTTTTTACTTAATTATTTTACATTATTCTTTCATACGTACAGATATTCATCTATACCATAATTTTAAAGGATGAGTAATATTCCAGTACATGGATAAATCTGAATTTTGTTTTTATATATGAAGTTTATTTTAAAAATTTATTATACATCTTCATAAATCTCTCTCTCCATAAGTATTTCTTTAAAGTAAATCTTTAGAAATGGACTTGCTAAGTTAAAATGCAGGCACATTTTCAAACCTTATGTGTTTTCTTTCTTTCTTTCTTTCTTTCTTTCTTTCTTTCTTTCTTTCTTTCTTTCTTTCTTTCTTTCTTTCTTTCTTTCGGAGGTACTGGAGAATTGAACCTAGGACCTCATGCATGCTAGGGAGGCACTCTACTACTGAATTATATACCCCTCCACACCCCAAACCTTATGTATTTTTATCTGTCTTCTTGTATGACTCATTTTATTTGAACTCTCTGCACCATTTTATATTCTAACCACTCTTAACACTGCTTCCTTTCAGCTGGTTCATTCATTCAGAAAACAGTTATCGAATTCCTACTAAGTGCTACACTGCTATGTATGGTCTGTTGGAGAAGGATTCTGTGGCTTTGTTATCTTTTTATTTTCTGGAATCCTTTATGTCAGTCATTTTTACTGATGTTCCCTCTTCTACCTACCTTTCCAGTTGAACTCTAGAGTGTGTCTTTAGTCCTTTATCCATTTTTTTCCTATGGTGGCTTCAGATTTCACTTCTTTACTGGCTAAACCTTTATCTGTGTATCTATCCCTAAGCTGTCTCTTGTCCATATGTCCAAATTTTATTTAACGTTTGGATATGCATACCATACAAGTTCAGCAAACTCAGTATGTTCAAAAACAATACACTGTGTGTACTTACAGAAATCCACACTAACTTCCAGCTTCAGGAGATCCCAGAGCACTTTATGAAACTGAAATATGAATTTGGTACATAGCA